ACCACCAGCATCAGCTGAATTTGGTGTCAGGGGGAAGTGGTTCCTTCCCTTGCTGAGTCATGGACGTGGCTTTTTTTTTCTGTAGGGATCCTTCTTATGGATGGTGCTAATCATTGTGTTTTACATATATTCATACACACGTGCAGCTGGAAATCACCTGTCACGCTGGGACAGTTTGTGCCTCCTTGCTGCTGCTGCTGCTGCTCCCAGCTCTGAGTCGGGGCTGTGGGACTCACGCTGGGGTTTGCCATGTGGCTGTTCTTGAGGACAGCAGCCAGCAGCCGCTGCCACCGAGACGGGTGTGCAGGTGAGCCCGAGTCACACCTCAGGTGCAGTTTTACAGGTGCAGCGGTCAGGTCAGGCACCCTGTGCTGCCCTGGGACACGCCGGGGCTGGGGGCCTGCTCCTGAGCTGACCCCGCTGCCGTGGTCATCCTGCTGCTCTCCTGCCTTGCTTGGCTTGTGTACATTTGCAGTTAATCAAACAAAATGTGCAAGAGTCGGATTAATAAATAGCTTGTAGTTTTTGGAAGGGTGCATGGTTGATTTATTATGGCCTCTCAAAAGCCTTTGTGTAGAAACAACATGTTTAAAATTACTGTTAGAGCAAGAAAATAAAACTGATTTTAATAAAGCAGGTTTTTATTTTCAATTCAGTTTGTTATTTCTTGGAATTTTAACCTAAATCACTAGATTACTGTTATTTTTAAAGATAAACAACGTCTTTTTAGTCTTGCTTGGGCAAAGTCACTTCTTCTATGGTTGGAATTCCCCTGTGCCAGGATAATACAGAACTTCCCATTTCTGAAATACATTATGTGCATGTTATGGCAAAGGAATTACAGTGTGAGTATGTTTTTATTACCAGAAACAGTATTTGTGACTTCAGTGGTGGGTGGGGATGGATATGTAAATGCTTTGTAATACATAAATTCATGAAAAGTGGACTAAAGGCAGAATAGACCTTGCCCATTTTGTGTCCCTGACTTAAAGTTGCAAGAACAGAATAACAGCTTGTGTGCCACGTCCTCGTCCAGAGGCAGGGCCTGGCCTGTGCCTGATCTTGCTCATAAATACACATCCAGCTAATACTGTCAAACTGTGAATCCTGTGTCCCTGAAGTCTCAGATTTTTTAACAGAGATTGATATATACCCCAGCTTATTAAAAAAAAAAAATCAACAGGCATGTTTCTTGACTTTAATATTTTTAAATTCATAGCAAGAGCAGTTAATCTGTAACCGTCTGCTTCTTAAAGGAAAGAGGGTTTATGGAATTTGCAGTGTAGCTTTCTGACTTGAAAATAGCATTACTGTAATCTAAAGTAAGAGAGGATTGGGCTCTGGGATTTGTATGTCAGTGCCCATGTGCTGCTGGTGGGAATTGGTCTGCAGTTTGGTTAGGGATGGAAATCTTGGGGCAATTCCTGATTTCTGCACGTGGCTGGGGCACACAGCGTACCACATGTTGCCTCTTTTTTCATTATTTATCAAGTTTTCATGAACCGAGTACACTTGGGTGTGTTAAATTCAGATGGAATGTCACAGTTAGGTGGTTCTGCTAAAACACTTTCAGAAACTGTGAAATAGACTCAAGATAAAACCACGTCTGATGGGGATGTGCTGGAGGAGCCACTGAAGTCAGTGGGAGGTTGCACCAGGAAAGTCTGTCAGAGCTAAAACAGTACAGAAAAAAACCTTTAAAACACTACTTGTAGTAGTAGTAGTACTAAAACTATGTATGTCATGCAAAATATCTGTGTCATAGAAGCAGTGTTGGCAGTTTTTCTACTAATCTGCTGTGGCACTTAGTAGTTCAAAGCTAACATGTGCTTGCAGTTTTAGCAGGCTCCCAGTCCCAGGTTGCTGGGCTGGGGAGCTGTGAAATGCAGCCCAGGCTGCAGTACCCCCCTGGCAGTCCTGCTCTAGAGCTGGCTGCTCTCTGCTCCTGCCTTTGCACTCCCATTTTTTCCTGAAATACACAAAAGTACAGAATGGTAAGAGGAATCATCTTGCATTTCCTTGCTGTCCTGTGGGAGCAGCAGGTGCAGCCCAGAGTGTGAGACAACTGGGTTCTTCAGAATATTAAATATAAAATATAAAAGAATATTTTCCTTTATCCAAGTGGGAGCAGCAGGTGCAGCCCAGAGTGTGAGACAACTGGGTTCTTCAGATGCACTTTACTAAAGAATATTTTCCTTTATCCATTCCTATACTGTTATGTGACAAGATGTTAATTAGCTCATTGTTTCAGCTTAATTTTGTGACAGTGCTATAATTATATCCCTCAATTGTGCCATGGAGTAATTGCTGTATCTCTTCCAAATTTTATATTGAGATATGTTATTGGTAAACTTTGAGTTTGGCAGAGGTGTTTTGAAAATACTGTAAGGAGTCAGTAATTTTGTGTTCCTTGATTTAAAAGACAGCCATTTGGCAATTTCAAGCTTTGAGACTGCCCTGTCAGTGTAAATAGAATATTGATTTTATTCCATTTCCTATCTCATTAGAGTCATTGTCATGAGGATGAATTCACGTTGTGTAATTATGTGTTCTTGCTGACAGCTCTCATGTCATTGAGACTGGTGTTTTCAGCTTCCACTTTCTCTAAGCATAAAAATAGCATTCTTCCCTGCCATCTTCCCCTTCAGTGTTGGGCTTCTTGCCTGCCCAGCTTTCTACATCTTTCTTTGAGAGACATGTGTGAATTGAGATAGAGAGGGACGTCCAGCAAACCCAGTTACAGGAACAGTGAAACAGTGCCTCTTTGGGAGCGATTCTCAGTGCAGGGAGCTACCTTATTTTTGTGTCAAAGACTGTGATGAGGGGGGAAAATGCATTGTTAATCTGTCTGCACATTTCTTTATAGCAATAAGGGGAAGTAACAGGGGTCTCTTCTGTGTCAGATTCACTTTCCTGGACATTTCCAGATAACCTTTCCATTGATTTGTGAGGCTGTTTCTTAATCATTTTCACTGACCCAGCTCAGGAGACAACTAAGTCATCTCTGTTACCCTCCTAAGGAATGACTCCTCAGTGTTATTTCTCTCTTCTGTCTCTTCTGAGAATCACTTTTTAATTTGCTTTCAATCCTTGCATCTTGATATTCAGTGAAGGCAAGTTTCTGCCTTGGCCAAACCAATGTTGCAATATTCCCAAGACAAGTGGCAAATGCTTCCAAATGTCAAAAAGTGAACTTTAAAACCCACCTGTGTATCACAAGAGTCTTTAGTACTGACTGCTCTGCTAGGTGGGGGTCTAGAAACCCCTAAATCAGTTTTAATTGAAAGAAAAATAAGAAGTTCAATCCTTTTCCTGTCCTGTTCCTATGGTTCTCCCTCTGGAGTCGTTACAGTCGTTCCCATCTTATCAGCCACAGCCCAAAGGAGCTATCTCATGTATCACTGGGTTTTGCAGACAGTGTATCTTCTGGGGACTCCTTCGTGACTGAGTGAGTATCACAAGAGAATTTCCAAGTGATGGGAAAATAGTTTATGCAGATAAAAAAAGATAATTCTATGCTGACATCTTCTTTATTTAGTTGGGATATTGAAGATAAACCTCTGGTCTGACGTCAGGCTTTATTTCTGCTCAAAGGCTATTTTTAAAGCTGACATTTCTGGCTGTTTTCAGGTAGACAACAAACTATGACAAAACACCTTTTCTTCAAGTAACTGTTCATACAAAATATACATCTAGTATTTCTTTGTGTTCTGAAGATTTACCTTCCAGGCGTCAGCTCCTTGGAGAAATGCTTTTCTTTTTGTGGCTGGCAGCCTGAAGAAGGAAGGGTGGAATTCAAGCTCAGTTAGTGTGGTCACCAGTGTGTCACTGACCTCAGCAGGAGCAGGATTTCTCTCTGAGTGGGTGATTGTCCAAATCCTAACAGAAAACTTATTACAGACCTGGGGGTAAAACACAGTTAGGGGAACCTTACCAGGAATATTTCTCCTGTCAGTACATGAGAGTACACAAGCTAGTTTTATCTGTTTTCATTTTGGATGCTGCCTTCATGCTCTCTTTCCTTTCTTGTTAGAGGTGACTACTTGTGTAATGAGAGTGAAATACCTTGTTTGGGAATGGTGGCCTTTAACTTGCATTGGCTTTAGCATATAAAATGCATCAATTTGCTGCTCGAACTCTTCTTGGTGTTTGGAAAAATCAATTGGTATGGATTGGTTACCAAGCTGATGAACAGGAGAAAACCCTGCTTAGAGCTGTTCCACAGCTTTGTGGCAGAGCTCTTCTTGCTGGCATTGGCAGCACCCTGTCCTGAGGCTCTCACAGGGAACAGATGTTCCTAACAAAATAACACGTGTCATTTTGTGCAGTGCAGGAGTGGTGGTGGGAGGACACAGATCCAGCTCTTGTCTGTGGAGGACAAGTTGCAGTGCACCTTGACTGAAGGCTGGGAGATGTGTTCAGGCTTCCAGAAGTGCTCTGATGTGCTGGCATTCCTGCAGAGGCTGCAGGGATGCCTGCTGGGTCTGGTGGACCTGCTGGCACGCGGGCCCAGCAGCACATTCTCTGCTTTCAGATCTCTTGGTGCTCATCTGTCACGGCTGGGAAGCGTGGCACAAGTGCAAGAACCAAACTGGTTTGCCTGGACATTTGTTACAGAACAAGTTTTCAAGACCTAAGAATTCAATATCCCAAGGACTGAGGAGTAGTGACTGCTGGTGCAGGATGACCCCGAACTTGAGAGTTTTAGGCAGTTGATGCAAATGAGTATCTGTGTTTACCACAAGGACACTTAGTTGTTAACCTGTGCTTGCAAGTAATTGTGTAGTTGTTTGTCCCTTGCTAGCAGGGATTAAAAACTTGGCATGATGTCAAGTGTCCTGGCAAAGAACACACGGTGCCTGTTGTAATCTCATTAGCTCTGTTAGGTGTGTTTTCCTTCCCCTGGAGTTGGTTGTTCTGATCACTGTGTCCCTAGAAAAAGACTGTAGCTTTTTCTCATCTGTTGGTTTGCATGCACGCTGACAGCATCGCTTCCCAGGGTGTGACTCTGGGGGCTGTGTCAGTGACCTGCAAAGGAGAGCGGTGGGAAATAGGAAGATGATGAAGCAGCATCTTTAGGAAGACGGGGATGGGGCTAGTCTTCCCCTTAGCGCAGGCAGAGGATGCTGCTGGGGGTGCAGAATCCCTGTCGCTGGTGCTGTCAGCGTGTGCCAGGCAGTGCCACGAGGGTCCCTCTGCTCCGTCCTCCGGGCACTGCGATCCTCAGGTGGAGACAGGACCTGTAGTTCATTATAGCAGATCTGCATTTGCAGGTGGCACCAGGCTTCTGTGGCAGAGCTGGGTCTGAGTCGCGGCGTGGAGGGGAACCCACGCAGCCCAGGTCGGCATCCGCGGGCTGGGTTTGCGGTGCTGGGTTTGCGGTGCTGCCCGGCTGGGTTTGCGGTGCTGCCGGGCTGGGTTTGCGGTGCTGCCCGGCCGGGCGGGGTCGCCCCGCCGGTACCGCCGGGCCGCACGCGCGGCCCCCGGCGGGCGCGCTCGGGGCAGCGCGGCGCGGCCGGCGTCTGACAGGCGCGACCTTTCATAAGACGGCCCCCGCCATTGGCTCCCTGCCCGGAGTGTCGCTGCAACGCTCGCCGCGATTGGCCCGCGGCGGTGCTGCCGCCCGGCCCCGCGCGGGGACGCGGCCCCGCCGCCCGCAGCCGTGAGTGCCCTGCGCGGGGCGGCGGCTCGCGGGGCGCCCGCGCCGCCCGCTCGTAACGTGTCTCTTCTCTCCACAGGTTGGTACTAAGAAGTGCCTTTCCTGACGTCGCTGCTGCTTGGGACCGCTTCTAGAGCAGCCGCTGCTTTTGCCTTGCTTGCTGCCAGCTAGACTGCGACGACAGCGCTCCGCCGCTGCCAGCCCCGCGCCCGCCGGGAGGAGGGTCCGGCGCTGCTCCCCCGCCGCCGCTGCACTGTGCACTAAAGTGTGCCGCGAAGGTCAGAGCTCTGCTGCCCGAAAGCCAAGGAGAGGAGGAGAAAAAGCCCCAGCCTAAAGCCGGTGCCGGTCGTTGCTCTAAACTGCTGCATCTGTCTATGCCAAACTAATCGATCCCGATTGCACCGCAGAGCCCGCTGCGAGCCCGCTGCCTGGAGCCACCTGCCAGCCGCCGTCCCCGGGAGCAGCTCGGGAATTGCTGCCGGAGCCCGCCACGTTCCCATGCTTGCGGCGGCCGCACTCAGGACGGGATGCTGAGCTAGTCCCGGCCCCGCTCCGCAGGCGCACCCGGCTGGCGGCCCGGCCTTGCCCAGCCCCGCTAACGGGGCCACGCTCCCGACTCTGGTGACACAGCTCTTCCTCGAGATTGCAGCCACCCGTTTTACACGTACTTATTTTAAAATAGGGAGCGGGGGAAAAAAAGTGTTCTGGAGGTGGCACTTTCATAATTTCCAGTTTATCAGTTTGGCTACTCGTTTGCCCATTTTTATTGGAAATTTTAACTACCTGTAAAATCTAAAGATGGCTGTTAGCGTCACACCGATCCGGGACACAAAATGGCTAACGCTGGAAGTGTGTAGGGAGTTCCAAAGGGGGACTTGCTCACGACCAGACACGGAATGTAAATTTGCACACCCGTCGAAAAGCTGCCAAGTTGAAAACGGACGCGTAATCGCCTGCTTTGACTCATTGAAAGTGAGTAAATATTACATTATTTTCAAGGATAAATGGTTAATGGAAGAAGCAGTTGTAGCCAGAGAAATCCTGCAGCCGAACAGGAGCAAGTGCTGGCTGCCAGCAGTGGGGTGTTTTGCTGCTTTTATTTTATTGATGCTTGTTGATTTGTGTTGCTGCTTTCCTCAGGGGACGGGGAAGGATATAGGGAACGAAGGGAAAATACGTCTGGCAGGGCTCGAATCCCCACTATGGCTACAGGGGCTCATTCTTCGCCTCCAAATTATTCCCTGCCTGTAGCTGGAATAAAGGGCACTTTACGTAGAAACAGCAAAGTCACTGTGAGGATTCTTTGTTTTTAATAGCACAAACCACGTAAGCAATATGAGGATTTGTTTCCATCTTGTAACTACCAGCAGGTTGTTGGTGGTGAACCTTAGAAGAGTGTTTTCCTCCCTGGGTTATTCATGTGTCTGTGAGCACCCTGCTTGCCTTTCTGTGGTTGGCACTGGTGTGGTTATCCCATCTTCTTCCCAAGTGCACTGGCTTAAGGGAAGGACAGCACTTAGCAGAAGGCAAGGTGCCTCTGGACGTGCAAGCATGGCAGGATCAGAGCGGTTTTCAGGAGGCACATCCCCTCTAGGCACCAAAATATAGGGCTGTTGTTTCACTGTAGCTGCCGTGTCAGTGATAGATGTTAAATGTGCGGGTCCCAGCTCCTTCCCTTGGTTTTTCATGGTTTAAGTAACCTAACATGTAAAATACACATACCACAAACAGTACAGAATTAATCCAGCGGAGTCATGCAAAAATCAAAACTTGGGAAGCAGCAATTTGTCTGTCAGTTTTTTCTCCAGTGTGATTTTCTGTTCCCTTGCCCGGGTCCCGAGGAGGGGAGCTGGCTGCTGGCAGGGCCGTGCTGGGGAGGGAGCTGAGCTGGAGCAGCTCGTGCAGCTCGTGGCTCAGCCGGCGCAGCGCGAGCGGGGCAGGAAGTGGCTCTCTGTGGATCCCCAGCGTCCCGAGCTTCACAGGGGACGGGGTAGAGCTCTACAGTGCTCTCAGGCCTGAAATGCTCCACCACCCCCAGCCACGGCTTAACTTGCACATACTGTAAGGATTTGTTTGTCTGTTGTTCAGTTTATTTGTAAATACAGCAATTACAATGCATGCAGGGTATCAATATTAAAATGTGGAAATAAGATGTTTTCATGCATCAAGCACGTGCTGGAGGTAGGAGCAGAGCCAGGGCTGCTGGTGCCAGTGGGGAGTCCCAGCCCTGTGTGCCACCACGAGGACACGGTGCCACTGCGTGTCACCGTGGGGATGGCGGTGCTGCCAGCACACAGGCCTGGCCCCAGAGCCTCTCAGCTGTTCCTGAGCAGGGGGCTGTGACTGCCGCCGTGGGTTTGCTGGTGCTGCAGCACCCGCAGTGTCCCCGGCTTGGTTTCCCAGCAACGAGTGTCTGGCCACCGCGGGCTGACCCCACTGGCCTAGCGCTTCTCATCACCAGGATGTGGCTGAAAGGCTGGAATCCGGCCACGGAGTGACCCGGACATGATGTCAGTGGTCGCTGGAAGTGCCTTAAAATCTCAGTGCTGGACGGGGGTGCTGCTGGTGCTGGAGCCGGGCGGCAGCGCGAGCTGGTGTCTGTGTGAGAGGGGACAGAGCGCAGCCTGGCCTGCCTTCCTCAGCCCCGGCAGCGTGACTGACCCTTCTGCTGCCGTCAGCAGGGCCCTTCGCTTCCTTTTTTAATGCAGGAACTGAGGCTGACCTTTGCCAAGCACTGCAAGGTCCGTGGGTGATAACCGTGGGTAACGTTACAGCGCTGCTGCGGATCCTCGGAAAGGAGTGTGCTGCTGCCCTGTGGAGTCAGCGCAGGGGCCGAGCTGGGAGCTGGGAAAGAATCTGCTGTTTAAAAATACACTGCTGACCAGAGCTGTTTACTTGTGCTCATGCTGAAAGGTTTGCCAGTGGCTGAGCTGCTGTGTGCTGGAGAGGCTCCCGGGATCCGGGGCAGGATCCCGCGGTGTCCCGGCGTGGGCCCGGCGCCTGTGGCTGCCAGCGGCTCCCCAGCCCCTGGGCACGGTGGTCAGTTAGGTCGCTGTACCCTGCACGAGAATACCTTGGGGAAACAGGAAATGGAATATCGCCTTTTGGGGAATTCCCAGTCCAATCCCCATTGCTGAAGCCATTGCTCAGTTTTGGTTTTGTTTCAGCTCTGTGTCAGTTTTGGTGTGTGCTGAGCTCAACCAGCTCTAGTCGTTGAGTTACCTTGCTGCAATATCCCAAACTTCAGATGTTCTGCAAAAGCAATTTAGGGAGATGCTGCACCAGCTCTGTCTGGACCTTATAAGGTCAGTCAATACTTCAGTACAGATTAAAAAAGATTTTTGGTTAGGACATTCAAAAGTAATTTTTAATTTTTCAGTAATTCAATATGGATGTAATGTCCTTGTTCTTTACTAAAATAGCAGCACGCTGAAAAGTTGACCTTAATGTTAAAATATTTGATTTCTTATTAATGTATATAATATTAGTATTAATTAGACAGCTATTCTTGCATTATCTCTTGAACATAAGACAGATACTTAGTCACTGAATTTTTCTCTACAAACTCCTGCATCTTGGCAGGAGTGGAAGTGAGGTGACCTTTAAGGTCCCTTCCAGCCCAGCCTGCTGTGATGCTGTGATGTGTCACTCCAAGACCTGGTGTGCCCTAGGAGTGACTGCTGTGTGGAGCTGACGTCAGGCAGGTGTGAGTGCTGCAGAGCTGCAGCCCCTGGGCAGGACTTCTCCGAGCTGGAGATGGCCTGTGTGCTCGGCTATATTTGGAACATAAACAGGCAGAGCAGATCCTCGCAGGGAGGGACCCTGGGCAGTGGCAGTGCCCTTCGGCGCTGGCCCCGGCCCAGGTGTCCTCTGCGGGCGCAGGGACAGCGCACCGAGCGCGCAGCCGCCGCAGCCAACTCCGCTGCCCTGCCCTGCCCTGCCGGGAGGAGGCAAAAATAGATGCCAGAAGTGAAACTCGCAGCTTGCGTAAAGCGCTTTTTTTTTTTAATTTTAATTACTATTTCCCCCTCCTGTGAAATGAAGGCTCACACTCTGTGCAGGGCTAGAGCGAGGAAGGCGGTGTTGGCTCCCGAGGTTCCCTCCTGTGCCGTGCGGGAGCGGTGGCACTGGGCTCTGGACACTCCGTCTGGCTGCAGACACGTCCTGTGGGTGCTCCTGGCAGCTGCTCCTTACCTGCGAGCAGAACGAGCAGCCGCTGGCTCCATTGGGAGCGTGGGGAGCAAGAGGCAGCCAGGCCCGTGGCTGTGACCTCGGGGCTGCTGCAGGAGGTCAGGGCTGGGACAGCCCCAGCGAGATGTTATCATCCTGCTGCCTAATTAGCGCGGATGGAACCTGCTAGGCTGGCCTGGGGGAGCGCGTGAATCAAGATGAGCGTGTGTGGGATAATCTGGCCCTTAGATATTAGGAGGATAATTTTAAACCAAGAATGATTATGTAGTGTATTCAAATTATGCGCTGGAGCGGCTGAGTCAGCTCCAGCTCTGGCTCTGCCTTGTTTAAATGCCGTAGGATTTTTTTCCTAAATTTGGATGCCTAAAAGCCTGTTAGACTGTCTACCGCAAAAATAAGCTCGAGTTCCTATATCAGGAAACTGGTTTGCAACAGAAATTTGATTTTTACCATCATTTTGAAACATTTTTTCTTCTTTCTTTTTCTTGGAAAAATAAGCCGAAGTAGAACTCGTTTTGAAATTACGTTAGCTTCGTCAGATGTTCCGATAGATGAGTCATCCGCGTTTCCTGAAAGCTGAGATAAAGATGTCTGAACAATGGGGAGATGGATGTCAAATGCAAATCTTGCGGGAGCTGCAGATGTGCCGAGGCCAACGTCACTGTGGCCGGGCGGCCACTGCCAGCCCTGTGCTGGGGAAAGTGTCACACGGCAGGAGGGGCAGGGGGATGGGGTGTCCCGGTGCTACCCCCGTGCTGCCTCCAGGGCTGTCCCGGTGCTGTCCCGGTGCTGCCTCCAGGGCTGTCCCGGTGCTGTCCCGGTGCTGCCTCCAGGGCTGTCCCGGTGCTGTCCCGGTGCTGCCTCCAGGGCTGTCCCAGCACTATACCAGCACTATCCCAGCGCTGTCCCAGCTCTATCCCAGTGCTATCCCAGCGCTATCCCGGTGCTGTCCCAGCATTGTCCCAGTGCTGTCCCAGCGTTGTCCCAGCGCTATCCCAGTGCTGTCCCGGTGCTACCCCCAGCACTATCTCAGCGCTATCCCAGTGCTATCTCAGCGCTGTCCCAGTGCTGTCCCAGTGCTGTCCCAGTGCTATCCCAGTGCTATCCCAGTGCTGTCCCGGTGCTACCCCCAGCACTATCTCAGCGCTGTCCCAGTGCTGTACCCAGGACTGTCCCAGTGTTGTCCCAGCGCTATCCCGGTGCTGTCCCAGTGCTGTCCCAGCACTATCCCAGTGTTGTCCCAGCACTGTCCCAGTGCTGTCCCAGCGCTATCCCAGTGTTGTCCCAGTGCTATCCCGGCGCTATCCTGGCGCTATCCCAGCGCTATCTCAGTGCTGTCCAAGTGCTGCCCCCAGCGCTATCCCAGTGTTGTCCCAGCACTATCCCGGTGCCATCCCAGTGCTATCCCAGCGCTGTCCCGATGCTGTCCTATTTTTTTTTTTTTAAGAAGAAGCTGGAAACCAGAAGTGTAAGTCACTTCAGTGATGATGTCTGAGGTTGAAGCTCTGGTGCCTAGTGTCTGAGACCCACCAGCACTTGGTATGACAGTATTTTATCTTCTGATGTAGAAGTGTTTATTTTTTTAAAGTAGAACGCCTGGACTCTGTAAAAGTGACTGCCACTTTTTACCAAGAAGGCTAAAAAATACATACATGTAGCATTATTACTATTATTATTATTATTGCTGAAATTCATGAGCATCTTATTTCTTCTACCTCAGAGATGTAACTGTTAGTTGTTCAAGTCTCTCTACTAAAGTCTCTCTACTTTGTCACTGCTTA